AAAAAAAAAGAGAGAGAGAAGTACAGCGCAGAGTCAGCTTAATTAAGAGAAATTAATAAAAATGATTAGTAAAAGCGCAGTGATTCTACTAATCTGCAGAAAGTACCAAAAAGGAAATACAACATCGGAAGTCTTCAATACATTTGAGAAAAGGATGAATAATGTTTCAATATTTGAGAAATGGATGACATATCTTAAGTTATTCGATTGATACACTCTGACCAACTGCATGAGATGTATTTAATCAACTTGCAGCAATTTAGAAAAGCTACTAAGCAGATATGAATGGAAGGAATTCACCCATTCAGACTAAAATTACTTGTTCAAGATCATCTCTCTCTAACAAAGGTATCTGTAGGCAGCAAATTTCCCCAGCGTAACAAAAAAAATGAACAGAGCTATAACCAAGGTAAAGAGTAGGAGAACCTGTTGAGCAAAAGTTGCTGCTTCAATAGCAGCAGCTGCAAGGCTACTAGTCTGAGAAGCATTTGATCCTGGTCCAAGGATACTTTTTGCATATGCAACTCTAAGAATCTGCCCATTCTTCTCCAATGTTGTACCGTTTGTTGCTTCAAGAGCTTTAGTAGCTTCCTCCACCTGAGATATACGAAAATAGCACAATTAAGATAACTTCAGAAAAAGATCAAGTTCCTACTACAGACTTCATCCAATTTGCTCGTTGACAAATAAAGACTAGAATCCTTACAGGGAACAAGCCTCTAAGCAATGCAGAAAATGGAAATATTATACATGACAATGGTAAAATACTATATGAAGAGAACATGAACCACCTTGTATGTTTTTCCCTTTTGTGAATGAAACCCTTACTCATCCACAAAAAACAGAAGGAAAAACATATTGATATTCATGTTCCTAATCACCAATATAATCTACAAAAAGAATGTTTTACACAAACTTCTCAAAATGAAAATATCATATAAATTTTCCCATGGCCAACCAAAAATAAGGATGTGTACTCCTATTGATGCTCCGTGCCATATATGAATATTCAATCACTTCAATAACAACCAAAACTAAACGTACAGAATAGAAGTGCACAAATGCAAATCCCCTCGAGACGTGAGTGAACTTGTCTCTGACAAGACGAAGATCCTGCACATATTAAGTTGTTAGACAACTAGATAGGAGCCAGGAAACACAAAAGAAGGGCAACAATGTCAAGAAAAAATCACCTTAATAGGAGCGTGTTTGGAAAATTCATAACGAAGCATCTCCTCATCTGCATTTTCATCTAATCCACGGACAACTAAGACATGTGTGGGACCTGATAAAGTATCAAATTAAGATCAATCCAACTATGCTAATTAAGTGCCCGTTTGGGGAATTGGAGACCCTCTTAATCAGGATTTAGTGGGAAGGCAACACCTGTTCTTTTCTAAGAATCCTAGTTTGGCAAGAACCTGAACTCCTGAGATGTGTGGGACAACTAAGACATGTGTGGGACCTGATAAAGTATCAAATTAAGATCAATCCAACTATGCTAATTAAGTGCCCGTTTGGGGAATTGGAGACCCTCTTAATCAGGATTTAGTGGGAAAGCAACACCTGTTCTTTTCTAAGAATCCTAGTTTGGCAAGAACCTGAACTCCTGAGATGGCCTTAAGCTGGATTTGGTCCAAAGAATACGGCCTAAAAGTCTGGAGTGCTGTGACCACATCTTTTAATTTTCCTTACCCAAAAGTAATTACCACCTTTATACCTATCTCTCTTCCCATTTTCTCTCTTTCCTCCATATAAATATAAGTAATAACATGCCAAACCAAGATTACGTGAAATCCCAAATAACCTTTACGTTTTAAAAAACAAGGACCGAACGTGCATTAGATTATACTGGATATAAATTGCCTTTAAAATCGGTTGGATTCAATCTATTCCATACTTGGAAGTTCCAAACAAGAACCTAGATATGAGCTGAACATATCATATATTAGTAACCTGCTTCGCCTCTCCTCCCCAGAGAGCTAGAGTTGGATGATGCCATGTCTGCTGGAGGAGCATCATCTGTCCGTGGCTCATTACACTGTTTCAAAGAGGAGAAAACAGGATCACCATAGCTATCATAGGATGATACCAAGAAAAAACTTGTGCGCTGGAGCTATATCATGATAATAACTTTATGCATCTATGAACAACTCAGCCAAGACATTTGTCAGACTGCAGATAAAGAAAATATCTGATCGGTGTAAAGTATAAAAAAAACAAGACTACCCAATGTTACTATTTTGAACACAAACAGCAGCATCCTTAACTCCAACTCTCTGTTCACAAACCATTGCATACAAGACATATTTGCATCTTTTAATTAGATCAACATTGATAGCAAATGTAGTTCAGTCTTCAATCAATAAAAAATGGCAGAAATCTACATTTCATATAAGTTGTATATACACAAAAGAGCAGGGGCTGTGAGAATGCACCGATTTTTCCCAACAAACATGTGCAAATATTGTTTTTTAAAGAAAAAAAAACAAAATTGAACACGAACAGTGAAAATATATAAAATTACCATCTAGGAAAGATGATAAAAATCATGTGTGTGTGCATGTATGTTGGATAATGGGTGGCTTCGATCAAAGTCGAAGCAATTTACAAGTTTCATAATAAATTATCTTCTTCCTCTTACAATAGAACTCTAAGGTAATGAAATCCCTTTATTAACAGAGATTGTCAACTAGCAAGGTAGAGTTATAAGAGTACTATAAGAATAAGATTAAAAATAAGAACCTGAAAACAAGATGTCCGCCGTGCAAAATTCACACATCCACAGATGGTGCACATCCAATCAGATGGAACAGTGATACTCCGGTGGTTACCATGGTTAGATCTTGAAGCACTGTCTAGACTACCAGGCCCACCGGGTCCTCCAGTTGGCTTGCTACTGCCAAACAACAAATTAGAGGTCTGTTAATTCAAACTTTGCAGCGGTACCAGAACATAATATTCAGAAACGCCAAGAGTAATTTCTAAAACTGCTGAAAAACATGGTACCTCTACTACTAAGAAAATGGACATTGCAGCTTGTCTGAAAATTGCAGAAATAAAAGATGAAAATAACCGGAAGTTGAAGAAATATTAATTACTGTCCTGATTGGGGGCCTAGTGGGTATATTTTCCTCTTTTTGAAGGAAGAGCACACTTCCTGTTCTCTTTTACTCCCCTCCCTTCCCTAATTTGCAGGCAGCATCAAAATTCAAGGAAAAAGAATAAAAGGGATGATGACTTTTGATATACCATGAAAGGGAGTGCCGCAGTTGCAATGACAAAGCACAAAGAACTGATGGTTCAAGAAAGCTTGAATAAATTTACTCAAAAAGGGTGCTCCAAATTTGAGCCCAAACAGAAACTAAACCCTAAATGTGCAAGAGAAAGTAAACACTTGGTGCATTATACCCTTGGCTTCACTAGACAATCTTGCAAAGTATGAACTGGCAGTGATAATAAAGATAACAAAATCAGTACTCTCATATGCAACAAAATAATATTTACCTGTACTCGAAGAAAAGCTTCCTACCATCCACAACTAGACCCTCATCCCCAAGTTTATCCATCATTGCTTGCGCCGCACCCTATTTCACAGCACTAAGCTCAATTCTGTGCTAGAATGAAATGGAAAATATGACATTTGCATATAATTTTATTGGTCATACCACAGAAGGGAAATCAATAAAGGCAAATCCGCGAGAAACGCCAGAATTTCGTTCTTTGATCACACGAACATGGCGTAGGGGCCCCCACTCAGCCTTTAAAAAAAAAGCATACAAAAGGAAAGAAATTTGATGAGCACAAATACAGCAAAACTGAGTGGGCGACAAGTAGCACATAGAGAGTTGAGTGAGAAGAAGAGATTGACAGAGAGAGTACAAGGATCTGATACAAATCTTCTTCGGTCGTTTTCTGTGAAAGGCCTTTGACAACAACAGTCGCTGAAGGGGCCTACATTAAATAGCAGAAGCCATGAGCGCTTCTACCATAAACGCAAATGGGATATGCAATGTATGAAACATACCACAGAATAATTGTCATGGTATCTTTTATCATCACGATCTCTTCGTCTCTCACTTCTATCGTATCGGCCATCATCATAACTGTCCTCTCTATGACTGCGACTATGACTTCGACTTCGAGGAGATCTTGACCTCATGCGATCATCACGACCACGAGAACGTGAGCGGGAATGCTCATGTCTTCTATATGGACTCGGATCCCTCTCACGACTCGATTCTTTGTCACGTTCACGCTCACGGGATTCACGTCGTCTCCAATTACCATCTTTCCCACTGCCTCTTTCATAGTCTGAGTCATAACTATATCTACTGTACTCATGGTCCCTTTCACGGTTATCCTCCCTGTTCGGGTGCGCCATACGATGTTTGTAGTCATAATCATCATAGGGGTAGTCATCACGCTCGCGTCCCCCATACCTAGCAGGCCTGTCAAATCCAGCATCAGGGTAGTTGTCAAAACTGCATAAACCATCTCTGAATGTGTTAATCTCATGATACTTATCAGCTTCACAAATTTCATGATTGGAATCAACATACAGCTTCTCATGCCTCCTGGAATCTCTCTCCACAGGATACTCTTCTTCATAACTTCTTCTCCTTGTTTGAGGCCAATGTCCAACTGCTGGTGGCGGATGAGGGTAGTGCTCTCCTTCCAGTATATCACGGTGATAGGCACCCCGTGAGTAAACACCATCCCTCGAAAATCTATCATCTAGAAACCTCCCGTCATCATAAGAACCACCAGCCCTGCAAGAAAACCATGAGGCAAAGGCCAATTGGAAAAGGCAAAAAAATAATGGAAGAAAATGAAGTGTCAAGTACCAACCTAAATAGGCAGTACATTAAAGATTTTAAATAGTTCTATTACATGTTCATGCAACAAATGTGACAAGTATTATTTGAAGTCTTAAAAAAATTAATTTATCATCAAGCAACTTGATTACCCTTTTGGTGAAAGATGATAACACTCACCGGAAATCTGGCTCATGAACTCCTCTATAACCCTCCAAAGCCTGTGGATTCAAGAGAATAAGTTGTGTCAGCAAGTTATAATCAAGGATGGAAGTTTAGGCAAATCCATTCCACATCCTCACTCTCCCATGGCTTTCATTCATTGTTCTTTAAGAGATGCTGGAAAATTTTTGGACAATCACATGACCCTAGTTTCTTGTCTATCATCCATTATGTGATTAAGAAGGAAACCACAATTACGCTGTTATTTTCCCATCCATGATGGAGCCCATATCGACCAGGATCCATTTCTTGCAAGAGCCACTGGTGTTATCCCTGCAAAACTCTTGATGTTCTTTTTTGAAGTTTCAGCAGCAAGATGACTGTAAGGCTTTCCTGTAATGCATGCACAAATAGATAGTCAAGCCATCATGAACCAGGAAACAATCTTCATGATTTGGCCTCCCCTTTACTGGACTCCTCAAAATCAAAATCTTCCCAGAACAACTCTTGAAACAGTGTAACGTACAACTAAGATCTTCATGTAGGAATCATCAGATATAATGTTACTGAATATCATCTGAACCTGAAGAGATTACTAAACCCAAAGCAAAAGATATGGGTTCTCTTGTTCAAAAATAGAAAGCCACATGACAACTTTCTCAGTACAAAGGACATCACCACTTCAAAAAAAAGGTCATAGGATTACTCAATGAAAGTAATTCCCATCTGTGAAAAGTAGACGATGATGTGCATTTGTAAGGGTGAAACCACTATGCACTAGTCAATTAGAAATTCCAAAGATATATGATATTTGGAAGTAGAGATCCTTGCGGAGCTCCAAATACATCAATTATAAGCTCAGAAGTTACTGTAAAAACTGACATGTGGAGACCCCAAAGTGGTAACTTTTTCTTCAAACCATGCATGGCCTAATACGATAACAGAATGCTTATGCACCAGCATTCCGGAAGGATAAGGAATAACCTCACTATTGAGACTTGTATATCTCTCCTCACATGGAAACAGATGGGCACATGTATATTTGTCAAAATCTCCACATATACCTCGTCTATCGAACAGCATAGATGCTAGAGTCAAGGCAGTGATCCATGGAGATACAGTTGTTCAAATAGAAAAATAAAAAGAGTTTTAAAAGTGTAACAGCCCATTAGAATTGCTGATTGCAATTCACTATACTATCCTGTCTTTCTTTGCAAACTTTAATGCTGTTTCAGCATTCAATATAGATAACAAAAGTGTGGAAACTAGTGTCCGCGCTCAAGATATGCTTAGAGGGATGCAATAGTCAAGAGTAAAGTGAGGAGACAGTGTGAGGTAAGCCATGAGCAGACAAACACCGGTTAGTAACAGCCCCAAAAAAAAATACGGCACAAAATCAGTCATGATGGACCATTAACTCTATACAAACTTTTCAAGCTCCCACATCAAGTAACTACAAAGTAACAATAATCACAACAACACCAACAGAAATTAAAACCACAAGAAACAAAAGAAAAATTACATTGAACACTATGTAACATACGACAATAACTTTGTACATATTGTAGAATAATTATCTCGGTAAATAAAAAATTTGTTCTTTTTTTCTTTATTTCTTTTTTTTTTTTAACGGAGAAATCCCCGAAGGCAGCACATGATACGGAAACCAGGTGAATAATGTGCCTGCCCCTCTACCCTTCTCCACTCAAATTTCAGGCTTTTGTCTACTGCAGTGTTAAAAAATACTGTAATTCTGTTTTGTTTACTCCTTTTTTTATAACCGAGAAATCATCTTTCTTTCTTCATTCCTTTCAATCCAAAAGTTGATTATGACTACCCAAAAATAGGGTAATAGAACCTATAAAAATAGGAGCCATTGACTTTGAAGTTTGAACATCACGTCAATTAATTTTTAATTTTTTTTTTATAACGATGAACAGATGCACAAATTAATTACCAATAGTCCCTCAAAACAACCGGAGAAATTGACACATTAAACTACCAATAAGCTCGTAAAATCACCCAAAAAGCAATAAATTATGGACATGAACCTTAATTTAAACCGTGAGAAATAGAAAACAAAATTACAACCCAATTCACAAGAGTAGAATTGAAAAAATTTGGGGAGAGGGGATTAGGGTTTTGGTTTGGGGAAATTAGAGGTGGAGGAATAAAGAGGGGATCTTACAAATTGGTTTTTTAAAAACAATCGCCGATGAGCCGCCGGAGCAATGTTTCGCCACCGATAGAAAAAGCTGCGTCAAGTGTTAACTCGACATAAGAACAAACTCTGCTTTAACGTGAAATTGCAGCGTATTCGATAAATGTAGTATTTTACACAAATAGCCACTGAGAAAGGATTGGGCTCGTGAGCTCGAAATCGTAGAAATGATATCGTGCAGCTACCCAAAGGCCTTATTTGTTTGTGCCTTAATGGAAGTATTAATCTTAATCATTAAGATGTCAGATATTAAGTGCGTTTGTTTTTATAGTTTGAATCATTAATTATTCAGTTCTTAATCATTAAGTGTATTTATTTTTTACTTCAAAACCACTTAATGGGTCTGAATAGGTCTGTATGATTAAGATCTATAACAGAGACTTAATTTCATTAAGATGCTATCACATATTCATTATTAACTGCCGTCATCGCCTACCATTATCAATTACCACCATGCCACCACCACTACCATACTCAACCACCACCACCACCACCACCATCATCACCACGCCACCATCATCCTCAATCATAGCCGCCACCATTATCGACCATCACCACCCACTATCCCCACCACTCCGACCACCATATATCATTCTCACCCACAATCAACACTCATCCACCTCAACTACCATAGCTAACCACTCCATCACCATCAACAATCACAGCTGGCACTGTCCATCATTATAACCTACCACTACTCGCCCACCACCTTCCTTAGTCACATCGAGTACCACCACCCGCCATTATTAACTATTACCACCCACCACCAACATCCTCAATCATAATCGACATCACTACCAATCACTACTAGCTACTAGCATGAACCACCATCATCAACCAAAACTACCACCAACCACCGCCTGTAGTCGGCATTCACCCGTTAGTCATCACCACCAACAACTATCATATTTTAAAAAACTATATATTTTATTGGTAGAATTTAGATTAGTTAATATACATTTGAATTTTATGTTTATTAATTTTCAAATAAAGATAAATTTTATATATTTAGATGTTAAAAATCAAACAGTCTTAATTATTTCTATTGAGATCTTAATACACATCTTAATATATTTAGATGTATATTCACATTAAGATGTCTTAATCTTAATACACATCTTGATATTCAGATGTGTATTCAGATTCAGACATCTTAATCTTTAAAAAAACAAATGAGGCCAAAAGGGCAACTTTTCCGTTTTTTCCCTTTAATTCTTCAGATTTTTAATTTATAATTTCAGGATAAAAATAAATATTGACCGATCTCTAAATAACATCTCTAAAAATAGTTATTTGTGCACTCGCCCTCTCGAAATCTACAAGGCCCAAATGTTTTAAGTCCAAATAAATGGGGGCATTTGCATCTATACCCGCTTTTTGGGTCACGTTTTAACTTGTGTTCGCTTTGCAAAAAAAATTGCAAGCGTACCCACTTTTTCGCGTAACTTCAGCATGCGGCGCTGAAGTAGCTAACGCAATCAGGCATAACTTCAGCATTCTAGGAGAAGGGTCTGAAGTAGCAAGTGTGTTGAACTAAGTGTGCTGAAGTTTTTGTTTGTAATTGTTGAACTTAAGCATAGTAGCTAAAGTTTTGTTCTCTATTCGCTGAAGTTTTTATTTGTAATTGCTAAACATAAGCATAGTAGCTAAAGTTTTGTTCTCTATTTGCTGAAGTTTTTGTTTGTAATTGCACTAAATAAGCTGAAGTTTTTTTGTCCTAGATTCATTAGTTTTGTCATTAAGTTTTTTCAAAAACTTCAGTAGAAGATGCTGAAATTATTTAGTTCATTTATAAAAACTTCAGCACTAAATAAGCTGAAGTTTTTTTTGTCCTGGATAAGCTTTTTTAAAAACTTCAGCAGAAGATGCTAAAGTTATTTAGTTCATTTGTAAAAGCTTCAACACTAAAAGCTGAAGTTTTTTTGTCTTAGATTCATTAGTTTTGTTATAAAGCTTTTTCAAAAACTTTAGCAGAAAATGTTGAAGTTATTTAGTTCATTTGTAAAAACTTCAGCACTATATAAGCTGAAGTTTTTGAAAAAGCTTTATAACATACTAGATAAATAATCAGATTGCCAACAATATTTAAATAATAAATTTTGGAAACAACAAACGTGAAAAGAACAGAATTATCATTGTCTACTAACTTACGTACGTGGAAATATTCACAAATTATTGTCTACTAACTTACGTACGTGAAAATATTCACAAATTATTGTCTAATAACTTACGTAATTATTTATAATTTGTTTTTAAATAATTTGATAACATATTTATGGCAATCATCCCATTAACTGAAGTTTCATAGCAGCACTAACAGCAACAACATCAGCAACAGAAGAAGAAGAAGAAGAAGAAGAAGGAGGAGGAGAAAATGGGGCTGAAGTTGTTTAAAAAGTGGGTACAAGTTAAATTTTTTTTTTTTAAAAAAATAGGTATAGGTTAAATGAGGGCGACCAAATAGGGCGCCCCATACAATTTTTACAAATAAATGATCTTTTGGGGTTTTCTTAAAGGGATTTTTTTATTCCGATACCTAATTACACGACATAAATAAATTTTGTTTACAAAATATATACAATCCACCTCAAAAGGCTCCCAAATACATTATGTAGGCCTTCAATCAAGGGATTTAATTACACCATTTTTCTTTTTTTTTTCCTCCTCTCTCCCCTTTCTCTCCAATCTTCCATTATCTTTTTTCTCTCTCTTTTTGGTTTTTGTTTGNGTCATAATTTTTGGTATAGTAGTTGTGACTTATTCACACTATATACATTTGGTTTCCGCAACAAAACTATCGGTACTTTAACTAATCATAAATACGATTGTTATCAAAGTTTTACCAAATTATCAAAGTGATAGTAATTTTTACCAAATTATCAATCATCGATTAATATAAAAATTAAGTTATTATTACCTTGTACGTGACTTCTGATTGTTAAATTTTACACTTATGTTGCACAATACTTAAACCCTTGAGTAGTAAGAAAACCAGTTTGCTGTTAAAAATTAAGCTATTATTATACAACTAATTATATATTATACAATTTATTTACAATTTTCACACATTATTTTTACCCAGTTAAATATAACTATAATATCATACAACTTAAATAAAAAATTTATATAAAATTTATACAATATGTCTTTTGTATATTTTGCATCTCATTTATACATAGTTAAAACAAATTTCATACAACTAATTATATATTATACAACTTACCTACGACTTATCTACAATTTTCATACATTATTTCTACCCAGTTATATACAACTACAATATATAACTTAAATATAATTTTTACACAATATTGTTCAACTTTCATACAATAGTTAAATAAAAATTATATATATAAACAACAGAATACAATTTTTCTATAATTTTGTAAATATAATGTATATCATATCGTCTTCTTCTTCTTCTTCTTCGAGTTTCAATATGAAATTCAGTCAAAATCAAGTCTAATCTTCACCAAAACACTCTCAAAATTGAGATATAAACTTCAAATCATATTTTCAATTGTTTGCAACAACACCCAATTCAAATAAATAATGATTTTTAAAAACCCAAATTCGAATTCAAAGCTTTAAAGCTTTTTAATGACTGTCAATAGTGGAATTGCTGCTCTCTTTTCCGTTGCTTTACAATACTGAAATTAGGGATTAAGAGATAGAGAGACGTAGAGACAATTCTCAATTCTTTGCAACAACACCCAATTCAAAGAATATTGTTCAACTTTCATGCACTTGTATCTTACAGCTGCCAATATGTTAGCTTAATGTGAATTGTTCTTCCAAAAAAACTATTCAACACATGTAAACTAATTTCTATCTTTAATTGTTTTTTTTTCTGGCCAAAGCAGCGAAACTGTTTGATTATAAAGATGGTAAAGTTTCTCCTTCAAATAGAGAAGAGATCATACCAGTGATTCTCAGTATTAAAACTATATTGAGCAAATCTATTTTGCATTACACGTAATGGAGGCTTTTTTCTTTTTAAAATTCAAATTCGAATTCAATGTTTCAAAGCCTTTTAATGGTTGTCAATGATGGAATCGTGGGTGAGTGCAAAATACGTAGGAGAGGGGGGTGAGATGTGGAGAAAGAAACGTGGGGGAGTGGAAGATACGGTAGAATTATTTTAGGACATTATTTATTATCATTAATTCCCTTAAAATGTAGATAAATGGTAATTAAGTATATAAAATATAATTATAGTAAAATTTAAGTAAAAAAGTTTATATAATTTCATATAGTATATAGGAATGTAATAATTCCTTTCTTAAATAGCACTCATCTAAGACAACAGGGTGATAGTTTCGCAACCATTTAACTTTTGTCCCCGTTTTAAAAATTTGTGTAAAAATGGATTTTTTAAGTTTAATAAACAAAAATTAGATTAAAATACCCACCAACCAAAAAATAGAACAAATTACTTACAAGTCATTCACAAGTTCTTAATGATTGGAAAAACGTGTACTATCGTCATCCAACATATCTTGTTTAATTGGCCCAAGTACTACCTGATGTGAAAAAGTTGGAAATATCTTCATTACAGTTAAATAGTTCATGAGTCTTATTGGATTGACAAATTGTGGTATTACTTTGTTTGTTCACAATTTTTTCCCCCATAGTTGTCGCATGTTGTGGCTCCCTATGGTATTCATTTTCTTCCCTCGTGTTCTATTGTAGTTTCTAATGAAGCTCAGATTTAATATGACCATGTTTTTCATATTTGCGACAAGGCGATGTAAATATCTAATTTTTGCCTTGTTTATATATTTGTATGTGTGTGTGTTTTGTTCTTATTTGTATATGTATAGGTTTTAAGAGTTGTTTGATGGTTTGATAAATGGGGTAGGGATTGTGCTAGTTAAATTTTAAAGAAATTAAGCCAAAAGTTAGCCCAAATCAATGGCCCAATTCTATTTGACCCGGTCTGGTGAAGCCCACCTGAGAGG